GGGAATTTCACATCATGCACCCTAATTCTAGTCTCCTTGCAGTCTCCCCATATCCTCCCCTCACCCCTACAGTGTCTCCCAAAAGAAATTTTTTAAAAAATCAAACCAAAACATGAAGTGTTAACATAATACCTTAATTACTACTATTGTCATTTCTCATAGTTGAACAATTCTTTTCCTTTTCTAGATTAACTCCCCATGTTATTAACCCCAGATGTACTAATGGCAATTTAATTGTTAGAGAGAAAATGGTGGCCATTCAATATTACCATAGTTATATTGATAATGGTACCTTAGGTAAGTCAGAATGTAATCCCAAAGATTTCACTTTGGTTTCTTAAGTATTTATCAATATTTGGATTTAATTTCTTCTATTTTAATTATACATACATATATATAAAGAAAACAAGAATATTTGGCTGTTGAGGTGGCACAGTACTATAATACCAGCACTTAAAAAGTGAAGAGGGAAGAGCATATAAGGCCATCTGGACTACCAAGTAAGATACTTCTCAGAAGGGTGGGTGGAGAGCAGGGGGAAGTGGGAGGACCAGAAGGCAGGTCAATCAGCAAGTTGCTTACTGTGCAATCATGGGACTTGAGTTCCTATACTCAGATAAAGAGTGGCAATAACATTGAGTGCAGCAGCAAGCCTTGTTACCCTAGCACTGGTACACTGAAGAGTCTATGGTTTGCTGGCCAGCCGGTTCAGCCCAGTTAGTTATCAGCTACAGGGTCAGAGAGAGATAGCATCTCACAAAATAAAGGTGGAAAGAAACTGAGGAAGACAGCTGCTATCAACCTCCAGCCTCTCTACCTGTAGACACACATGCAAACACACACATAACAGAAAAAGTAAAGAAAATTCTACCTGTTTGTAGGGTCCATGGGTCTACCCCTCCTCCCAGGGTTCATCTTGAGGAGAGTTTCTGGCCAGACATCTTGTTGCAGTTTCCAGCTAAACAACCTGTCTGTTCCTGTGCTTCCTCTGCCCCCCTGGTGGTTAGCTGTTGTAGGAGGAGCAGGCCGAGAACCACTGCCCAGCTAGCTTAACCCCCGAAATACCCACACAGAAATTGTATTGATTTAATTATTGCCTGGCCCATTATATCTAGCCTCTTCTTGACCAACTCTCACATCCTGATCTAACCCATTTCTACCAATCTCTGTAACACCGCGTGACTGTGACTTACCAGCAAGATTCTAACCTATGTCTGTCTCAGGCAGGAGATTCAAGGCGTGTGCCACTCTGCCCTTCTTCACAGCATTTTGTTCTGTCTACTCCACCTATCTAAGTTCTGTCCTATCAAAAGGCCAAGGCAGTTTCTTTATTCAACCAATGAAAGCAACACATAGACAGAAGAACCTCCTAAATCAGTTAGCTACATAGGGCAATTGTTTACTCCACCTTGGGTGTGGTAATTCCCCACCTGCCTGGGGGGAACTTCCATTGTGCAACAGCTAGGTATATAAGGTTTTTTCCTAAACTTGAATAAATGGCACTCGTCTTATCTCCTCTTGAATGACCCAGGTCTAGTGTGTGTGTTGTTTTAATCTCCAAGCCTTTGCCCGGCTTACGAACTGTGAACCATACCTAGAGTGATGCAGGAATTACACCTGTTGTTCAAGGTCTAACTTAAATGTTCCTTCCTTTAAAGAGAGTAAGTAGTCTAGAGTGTCTAGGTTCAACTCTTATTTCATTTCCAAAGTAAGTTTTTTAATCTCTCTGTGCTTTTTCTTCTAAGATAGAGAAATAAAAATTCTTATCATGCCTCATATACTAAGTGATCATGCAAGTTTACTGGAAACTTTAGAATACATACATAGCCCCAAAATGCTTGGTATTATTTATTTAAAGTCTAATGATCAATACAATAAGATGCACTATGGATTTTCTTTCTTTGAAACATGTTAGTTTTTCTACAAAGAGCTAGACATTGCAGAAATACTGAAAAGCCTCCAACCCCAACAAGAGGAACTCTTTATCCAAGGGGTCAGATGAGTCACTCTGGTATCACGCCTCCCTGTTACTCTCTGGTACAAGAGCTCAAATCCAAATTCCTGAACTCCACTCTACTCTATACATAATAATACATAGTATCTGTTATAAAGCAAGTAGCTATATGAAAACATGGGAATGATGGTGTGTAGAGGTATTAAGAAAATGCTTTGGGCCAGGCAGTGGTGGCACACACTTTTAATCCCAGCACTAGGGAGGCAGAGACAGACCGGAGCTCAAGGCCAGCCTGGTCTACAAGAGCTAGTTCCAGGACAGGCCCCAAAGCTACAGAGAAACCCTGTCTTGAAAAAAAACAAAACAACAAAAAAAAAGCTTTGGGGAAAAAAATCTTGTTTTTCTTACTCTATTTTTGTAAACAGTGGTGAATCTATTTTATTCTCCTCTTAGATTAAAATTTCCTGGTAAAAAGCAGATTAACTATTTCGCATAGAGTTAAACTGAACAGCCCAATTAGGTACACATGAATTCTAAGTATTTCACATTTTATGTGTATGCCTGGTGCCCTCAGAGGTCAGAAGTAGGTACTGGATTCCCCAAATCTGGAGTGAAGGATGGTTTGCACCACCATGTGTATGTTGGGAATCAAACACAGATCATCTTGAACGGTAACCAGTGCTCTGAACCACTAAGCCATCTCTCTTGCCCCTTCATTTTAGATTATATTTAGATATCTGTATGCTCTGGACTCTATGTTATTGGCAATCTTGCCCTCTTCAAGCCTCTTGTAATATTTGATATGGTAGATATTTGATATGCTACCATCTCCATATACCTGCTTCTGTTCTTGGCTTGGGAGACAAGCTATTCTGACATTTAATTACTGTTTTAATTTTTGCTGTCCTCTAACTATGCTGCTTTTTGTCAGCTTCCTTATTCTTTAGTTGACAACCTCAGGCAAACATCTTAACCCCATCGAACCTCAAGATTTCCCATGATAAAATAAGGATTAAGAGAGGTTAATGATTCCTGCCTCTATCTATCATCATAATTAAATATAATACTTTACAAATGTTAATCTCCTTTCCCTCTTACCACCACATAAATGTCCAGGTACAACCTTGGACCTTTACTCTTTAATCTCAGCATTCCTCCTTAGGAATCTCATCTTGGCTCTTAAATACTCCAGTTATGTCTTAGACATGACTCTCAACACTTGACCTTCTCTTCTGAATCAGTTCTTTCACCTCACTTTAGTCTCTCTGTGGGCACTGAACTCATCTTGTTCTCTGCCCTTACAACATAGTTCTTCTGACCACAGCGGCACAGGACCAGGAGGGGAAATTTGAAAAAGACTTCCATGGCTTAAGTATAAATTTCCCAGACTCAAAATTCTGCATGGGTAACTACTCTCACCAGTCTCTCCTCCCTGAGACTACACATTTTTTCCTAACCTAAGTGCTTCTTCCCTGGCTCTGTGCCTCAACTTCTCTTTCCTCTGAGTGTCACTTCCTCAACCTCCCAGTTGGAGGAGAAGCTGGAAAGAGAAACTCGGTGAGGAATGAAGCTGCTTCCACACACCAGAGCTTCCTACTTCATAAGCTACTTGAGCCCCTGGGCCATCTTAAGAGTTGGAGACCTCAGGCCAATTGCCTCCAGCTCTAAATAGCTCCTCAGGACTCCAGATTCTAATTTATCTGTAGAATAAATGAGATGAGCCAGGAAGATGGTTTTACACCAGTGTACTGATCTGACAAATGCAGAGATGCACTACTCCTAACGCAAGTTTCCTACACACAAATCTGGCCGTATCATTTACCCCTCACTAACTTACAGCCTTGTATAGTCTCACCCCAACCTTGTATAGTTCACTCCACCTAAATGAACTATACCCTAATCTCTTCTCATGAATAATCTACTCTCTACTCCCAGGATCTTCCCATCTCCTTTATATGAAATTGTCATGTGCAATTTAACCTTCAAGTTCTAGTTTCTCAGTCACCTGCTTCCTAAGCACCACATCCCCCTTTCCTCACTGCAGCTGTTGGTAGTGTCCCTGTGCTCCTTATCTGGCTGTCTTGTGTGATAAAGATAAGTACACTTTACAGCCTCTCCGAGAAGTACTCCTAGAATACAAAGTCTAGCTTACCTCCCCTCGCCCTAACACCTAACACACTGCCTTACACACACTGCAAGCACTAAGTGACTTTATAATTTACACACACTGCAAGCACGGTAACTTTATAATTTACCGTGTATATTGGTGCAACTTCTGGCAGTTCTATATCAACCAATTACTGAAAATAAATTCTTGAAATACCAGTTACAAAGAAAGTTACAAAAGAAAAGCCACAGGGTTTGAAACCAGTTTGGAAAATGCAAATACAAAAACCAAACATTTACATCAGAATATAAAGCAGTGGTTTTCAGTTTGGAAAAGTCAGAATAGAGAAAACCCCTTCTGATGAGGCATCCAAGAAAAATCTCTAGACCTAATTCTGCCCTAGTCTGTTGCATTAACTGAGTAAACACAATGACTGTTTCCTTCACAATGAGTAAACCAATCCTGTCAGCCTTCTTTCACTTCTCCCTCTGTGGAGTTGCTGCTTGCATCACACAGAGGGAAAAACTTTAGAAGGCTGCCGTAATCTTCAGGACGGAGTCCCAGCAGTCCACCTGAAAACTGGTAAGAAGGGGACCAGGAAGGAAGGGATTGGGGGAGTCCCCTACCTGGGAGCTGGTGCACTGCCACCGAAAGAACGCCCACTGCAGTGGCAGGAAGGCTGCTGAGGAAACGGAGAAAGATTTGAGAAAACTTTCAGTTCAGGGGCAGCAGGCAGGTCTTAAGATTTCCAAATCCAAAGGCACTGGCCTTATTAAGTAAAAATGAGCCTGGGTTGTCTCTGCCCCTGTGACAAAATGGGACTGGGGGGAGGGAAGGCAAGGGGTGGGGCCTCAAAACACTAGTGAACTTAGTTCCATGGCAGGTATCCTAACCAACTATAAATAATCTTTGTTTCGACATCAAAATCAGACCAATTATAATCTCCCTCCTTGGCCATCCCTTTCTGGAATCTGCCCCCACCTGTAGTTTAAGTCCATGGAACCGGATTTAGGTGTTCATTACACAATTTCTCTCCTGAATGATTCAGACACAGAATAAAGTCCAAATTTAGACCAGCAGACAGCTCACCCATATCCCTTTCGTCCCTTTCCTTCCACATTCATTAATCTTATGGAAAGCATTCTCTCACGATAAAGCAGTCAGGACACCATGATATATAGAGCCACACATGAATTTGTTACTTTAACAAGAATCTTTGAGAATCTAAGTAGCAAACACTGCTAGGAAGCAAAAATACCAAGATACAGGATTCAGCACCCCATTCCTTCCCTTTCTTATCTCTTATAATTCCATCACTCTGGAGGCAGAGGCAGCTAGATCTCTGAGGGTTCAAGGCCAGACTGGGCTACATAGTGAGTACTAGGTCAGCCAGGGCTACATAGATCCTGCCTCAAACAAACAAAAAAGAAACTTGTTAAAATAAAAATTTATTTTAAAGTTTATAGGGAGCAAGGTAAGATTCTGCCTAATTTAAGAATACAAATTCCTTATTGTGCCAGATGCAAATGAACCCAAGTTCTAATTGCTTATATTGGAAAATACATATACAGAAGACCAAATTGTGTATATGACTGAAAATGGAGATTTCTTTTTTTAACCCAAATAATGTAGTTATATATTATATAGGCCATTATGAATAAAATCATAGCTGTATTTTATTTGTATCAAAAGAGGATTAATTTGACAAGAGATCCCTTAGACCAAATTCAACTTTACATTATCTTAGGATTGAAGTGGCCTTGCCAAAGACATGGTTAAGCTGACCTCTGAGTTCCGTATTACTAATCTCCATCTCACCCTACAGCTAAGGCTTATAAATATAATTCATCAGCTTCACAAACCATGTGGTTATTAGGTAAAAAGTCACCCAGACAGCCTGACTTGGTGGTACATAACCATAGTGCTGATACTTTAGAGGTTAAGACAGATGTAGCATGAATTCACCTGGGTTCCATACAGCATGATGCTTAAAAAGTAAAGAAATAGTCAGGTTACAGCAACTTTGAATTTTTATTTTACTACTTTTATCAAATGAAAATGTTTTAAGTCAAATTTTTATTAGTCAAATATAATGGTTAAAAGTAAAATTAATTAAATGGTAATATTAAATAGCAGCAGCACATAGTTATATTTTATTACATGTTGAAAAACTGGACAAAGGACCTTTAATGTTTAAGTTCTTTTATAATACTAACCAAGAAAACTATCTCCAAAATTAGCTGCTAGTTAAACAAATATTGTTAGGCATAATCAAATTAAGAGAGTCCTCTTTTACAATTTAAGAAGAGTTAAGCAATTTAGGAGTAAAGGAGAAAAAAATAACACATAATTTTTAATTTACATTTTTATAAAATGTGCCAAATATTCAACCCTCAAAAGAAAGATTACAAGCTTTATATTACTGTTCATATTAAAACCCTTTTAAATTTAGAAAGTTACAGTTTACTTCATATATTTTCTTTAACAAGTAGAATACAGCAATAATACGGACCAACTTTCAGTGAGTATAAGCACTTTACTTTTGCAGTGTGTTGGTAATCATTGCAAACCTCTGCTTCAGGAACTCTCTTTTTTGGATCAGAAAATTTTCAATAATATTGGCTTCTCTGAAGAGTCTCTCTAGTTCATCAATGTAAGACGCATCTACGGCTGCTCTCTCACTAACAGGAAGAACGGCTTGATGTTAAAATGAGTTATAAAGCCTAGACATGCTATCGTGTCATGTCCTTTATTCTTTATCTGTTAGCTATTTCATTTTCATGCTTCAATTAAGTTCATAGAACTTAATTAATTTACTAGTATTCTCCAAGAAAACGTTAAATCAGTCCTGCAAATATTTTGACTACTTAAAAAGTCCCCTGACACACAGAAAGTGCATCTTATATACTTTAGTTATAAATTATATAAAATATTAAAATTAAACTATCACTTAGGTATAGTGACTTTCCAGTAGCTTATAAAGCAGCTTGTAACACTTCAAATTCTCAAATCAACATTTAAAGTCAGTCTTGAAATGTATACTAATAGGATATAAATATGTGAAATATTCATCTTTAATAAAACCCCCTTAACATTAATTTCACCAAAAAACCTCTACTCTCAAAGAGGTACTTGAATAAAATTTTAAAGATACGATCATCTAGAGACCAAGATACATCCATACTGGTATTAGCACTAAAAATATGACAAATGATGTTTGGACAAATTGGAGATTATTCCCTTAAAATATTCAACTCATCTATCATAAGGAATCAAGACAAAAGTGAAACTTTAAATTTCTAGTTACCAGATAGATTTTTAAGTCATGGAATTAAATTTTTCATTACTGATTTTTCAAGAGAAAAGGATTTCTAACAAAAATACTCAAAAAATATCATAATTACTTGCCTCAAAATCTTTGCATATGTAGACAACATCAGATTAATTTCCTTGCTCGTATCTGTTCAAAAAAATGGGTAGGTTGTAAAATCTAATAAAGTTTATGCACAATCCAGCCAATACACATAAATATAAGCATTATTAATACATCACCACTCAAATCCTTCTCTAGGGCTTCCTCTTTATAAAGGAGTCCAGAACTTTCAGAGAAAGAAGAATCCAATTTTCCAAGCGAGGGTACCTGTGGACTATCTGACACCTGAGGCTAAGAAAAGACAAAAACCAGATCAATGGTAATATCTTTAGACATATATATTCTGTTTATTAAAAAAGCAAAGCAAACTTTTCCAGGGGGGTTGGGGACACAGCCTAGCATCCTTAAGGCTGTAGGTTCAGTCCCCAGTATTTCAGAATTAGAATTGAAACTCCATGCTTGGAGCTGGGGATTAGTTCAGTGGGAAAGCACTGGACTAGGAAAGCACTGAAAAGTAAAAAAAAAAAAAAAAAAAAGCATAAAAAAAGAAAAATAAAATAAAAAGCAGACATGCTAGAGATTCCATACCAGTTATTTAAATTTTTATTGTCAAGGAAACCTTTAGACACAATAAACACCTTGCTTAAAATACTAAATTTTGCTAAGTTTGGAGATTTTGAAAATAGCTTTTAACTCTTAATGAAAAACAGTCCTGTATCTTGCACCAGTGGATATTTTTATAATAACAAGATAACTGTAATTTAGACAACAGATAAATGGTTGCAAAATTTTGTAATATAGAGACTGGTAAGATGGCTCAGCAGTGAAAGAAAGCACTAACCACTAAAATCTGATGGTCTAAGTACAATCACCAGATGGGCCTATGGCATGTAAGAATTTTACTTATCCTAGCGAATAATTTTTCATGTAAAACCCCGTGTACCAAAAGACATGGACTCACCTTGGTTACTTTTGGTTACCAAGTAGATTTTTATAGATCTGTTCTTAGTGGAAAAACTAGGTAGAGTCAACATAGCTCCTGCTAAGACAATCCTACCTCTGAGACTACGAGAACACTAAATTCTATTTACCAATAGCACTTTCTTGAAGAAGATGAAACCAGAAATAAGTAAAATACATTAAAAGGTTCCAGGAGCATAAAACTTACCTCCAATTCTCTTGACCTCTTGCAGTTTCTAGAATCAGGTTTTACGAGGTGGTTTGCCATTATACTCTGGAGGCACAAACTATAAAGTTTAGAGATTTGTCAAATTTAGGCACAAAGTCCACACTACAGGTCTCTTCACCTGGGTCCTTTTCCCACCTCTACCATCATTATTTCTACTCTCCTGATCTGCCACTTAAATTTAATTTCTCCCCTCTCTATTTCATCCTGTCTCTCAAAACTTTTCCATTCAACAGCCTTCTGGGTCAGTAAACTCAAGTTTTATCACAGTATCCAATGGCCTCCATCATCGGAGACCAATTTATTATCCACACCATTTTCAACTACTCGTCTGTAAAGGAGCTCAACTAACCTCACTGGCAATTCTATCTTGTTTTAGCATTAGAAGATTTATGATTCTTCTGTCTCTATAAAATGTTAATGTTAATGTTAAAATTAGAGGTTAGATGCTCTTGGGACCCTTTTCCTCCTACTGAGTTGCCTCATGCAGCCTTGATAATGAGGGTTTGTGTATACTCTTAATTGTAGCTTGTTATGCCTTGTGATCCCTGAGAGGCCTGCTCTTTTCTGAAGGGAAATGGAGGAGTGGATCTGGGAAGAGGGGAGGTAGGGGGAAGAGGCTTGGAGTAGAGGGAGGGGAAACTGAGGTAGGAATGTAATATATGATAAGAAAAAATTTTTTAAAAAAAGCATGTTAGAGCTCCCCTTTCTTCCTTCTTGAAAGAAGGACAGAAAGAGATGGTTGATCACATGTAAACAAATAAAACTGAGCTATCCAGAAATAAGATCTTTTTATTCTTCTAGTCTGAGATTGTTTTCATTGCCCTGCCATTACCATAACACGGCATCAAATTGCTTTCCCATAAATTCTGAAGCCATTTTCCTGAGAATCTGAACTGTTCAGTCTTAAATTTGAAAAGACACTGGAACTTAGAAGGATGGTTTCCACTGTATTTTAGGGTTGAAGAACTATTTACATTCAAATTATCTGTTTGTTTCTCTTTTTATTTGTTGGTCTTTCGAGATAGGGTTTCCCTGTGCAGCCCTGACTGTCTGGAACTCTCTCCGTAGACCAGGCTGGCCTCAAACTCTCTCTGCCGCCAGAGTGCTGGGATTAAAGGCCTTCGCCACACACCCAGCTCTAGCTGTTTCTTGTAAGTATCATGAGTTATTTAACTACAGAAAATCCGAGTGTTTATATGTAATATACATATGATGGAAACCAGAGCAAAAGGCAGATTATAAAGACACTTCTAACTTGAGCACAGTCCTTCCAAGTGCCTACCATTACTTTAAGGGTACTAAGCTGAAGCGCTAACAACCTAACATGTAGGAAATGCACGCATGGATGGATTGACGTTCCTAAAGAACCGGAAAGTATCTCAGAGACGCCCACACAAGGAAAAAGTCTTCTTCCCCTTTTAGTATTTCCTTTTCTTCTGCTTTTTTTCTCAAACGAACAGAACGTATACATAAATAAATAATAAAAACACAATAAAACTTCTATAATTAGGTAATTCTGTGTTTGTAAAAGTGATTACTGACACAACTTAAGCCTCTTGACTAGCAAAGTCTGGGTTAACAGGCAGGTCCTCACTCTAAGAAAAAATCAGAGACTTGTGGCTGGCTATGCCATCTACGGCATCACCTTGTGCGACTGTCTGCTGTTTGTCTGGGTTTTCCTTCTGCAGGCTGTGGTTGGTTTGGTTTCAGATTTTCCAGGACTGAGACTCACCACATAAACCAAGCTAACCTAGAACTCCCTGGGTAGCCGAGGACGGACTCAAAGTCGCAGCAATCCTCCTGCCCCCGTGCTCCGAGTGCTGGGATTATGGGTGTGTGCTACCCCCTGCCGCAACGGCCTTCTGTTGCTATCTCTTCACTGCACTGCGGTCTCCTCACGCCATTTCCCGCCTCCTTCCCTCGCCTCCCTCACACCTTCCGGTTTGCTCTGCGGCCCCACAGACGCCAGACCCCGGCCCCACAGAGGCCGCACCCATCCCCACCCGCTGCTTTCCTTTCCACTCCATTTCCCCCCATCACGGGCGCACGCGCTCACCCTCTTGTCCCACTAGCGATCGGAGATTCGGCCACAACCTTCCGCCTCAGAACGGCGCAACAGCGAAAGGCTTCGTGTCCCTCTGCGCAGGCGCCCTAGTGCACAGTTCCCAGCAGGCAGCGCGGCGGGTCACGCGGAGGCCTCGCCTCTGTTTATTTCCCGCCTTTTTTCTCTAGACTTGGAACCTTCGCTTCCCACACTGTGGAGAGGGAAAAGTTAACTTCGAAACTGGTCTCCAGGAAGAAGAGAGGCATTGCCAGGGGCAGCCGGGCTTGTGCCAGAGCCAGGAATCTCGGCGGATGAGCATTCACTTTCCCACCTGCTCCTCTCAGGAAAGGACATGTTCGCTCGGCATAGGGTGTGCTGGCAGGAGGAGACCCAACCGGTTCCTCTAAGCCCACGGTCTCCATCAGTGTCCCTCCGCCCTCGGCACCAAACTCTCCAGATCACACCCGTAAAGAAAATAACTTTATGGACATGTCAGTAAGTGTAGCTGACCCATGTAGCGTTCAAAAATAACTCAGTAATTCGCATGGTTCACACACTCGTGGCTTAACTTTCTTGGGGTCTTCTGGATACCAACTTTGACCTGCAGCTTCATAGACTTCCTAAATTCTTTCCGGTTAGTTAACCTGTTGCAGAAATAGTATATTGCCTCATAAAACAAAGGTCAATGACATGCCTCCATGAACCCTGAGCACATAATTTTACATTTTAGAAGGCTGTTATTTAACATGTAGTCTTTTGGGTTTTTTTTTTCCTTTTGTTAATTTAAGAGTTAGCATCAAGGCTGGGAAGTGGCTAGCGATAAAGAGCATTTGCCTAACTAGAGTGTTACTTCCCTGATATGGGAAGTGGGGGGGGGGGTGGCTTGAAAGTGTGTTATCTGTGTTGAAATTTTTACTATCTGTAGTATGTAATACACTTTTTATATAGTTGAATATGTTCATTTTACAGTGCTTTCCTGTCCTTGGGTTCATTTTCCAGCACTCATAAATCAGTGCTTCCAGCCCTGGGAAGGTAGAAGCTAGAGGGTCGGAAATTTAAGGTCATCCTTGGCTACTTTTGAGGCTAGCCTGGGATAAATGAGACTAGGGGTATCTGCCAGCCTGATCTACAGAGTGAGCTCCAGAACAGCTGGGTCTACGCAGTGCAACCCTGTCTCAAAAAAACAAAACAAAACAAAAAACAGACTCTGACCTTTCTAAATTTTTTATAAACATGAAATAAAAATGTAAGGATTTAATTTTTTAAGCATTTCCAGCAAATATAATATTCTCTACTCAGTATTTATTTGGTTTTGGTTATTTGTTTGTTTTTGAGACAGTCATGCTTTCTAGTCCAGGCTAGACTGGAATTTATAATCCTCCTGCTTCAGTCTTAACTATTCTATCTTATTAGCATTAGCACTGTTATTTTTAAAGGTCCATTAAAACAAAAAGTGTGGCTGATATTGGTCTATTTCCTCTCCCAACTTCACCCTGTATTATAGCTAAACAAATAATTATCCATTTGGTTCTTAAAATATATTTCAAAGGAAAAAAAGGATTCTATCCTAATGCATAAATGTTTTCATAGGATTAAAAGAATACCATACTATACTATTTTCTTGTTTTAATGTTACCCTCATTGTATGGGTAATGAGAAGATGTGGAGGGTTCTGGTTAGCCAATGCCTTAGACTCTTCCAAAGATTGCTGACAAGTCTATAAAATACACAGGACACAGAAACATATAGCTTACTCTATACCATAGGAAATGGAACCTTGTATCCAAGCCCCAAAACTTGGAAATGTACAAACCATTTTTTCTACATCTTTAGAGCAGGAGGGAGCCCACTGGCACTCATTCTGCTTCTGGTCACGTTGGGTGCATGTGTGGAGATTGAACCCAGGACCATGTTCTTGCTAGCCGAATCCTCTACAGTTGAGCTAACCCCACTAGCCACTGTGACCCTATTTCATGCGGTCTTTTGTGTCATTTGGAGGATGAAAACTTGCCTTTTTAAAGTCAGTCACATTTGTATTTGTATTCTTACCACATTCTTTTTTAAAATATTAGTTTTTCTTCTGGTAACGCATCACCCCAAGTCCCTCCAAACACTTCACCACAAACTTCCTCTGTAATCGTGGCTATGGGCATGATGTTTGCATGACTTTAGGAAATCAAAACTCTACCCTGTTTGTTTTCCTTTTTTAAGAAATTAAAAACTACCTGCTTACACAGCATTTTTTTCCCTAACTTTAGAAGCCCTCTTACCGTTTCTGTACTGGGGGAAAAAGTCACTTTCTCATTCCATTGCTAACAAAGCAACAGTTTAGCTTGTGGCCAAGTAAAAGGTCCCTAAGAGATGCTGCTGTTATTTCAAGGCTATATTCACACTCTTATCTTTAGAAGTAACATTTTAGAAGACTATGTTAATGTATTGGTTAGAAAGCTGTATCGATGAGTTAAAGATAAACCTTAAAAAATAATCTCCCTAAGTCATATTTCAAATATTTTGAGTCAGAAATTTGCCACCATTCTCAGAATAGATGGTTCTGGTTTGTGTTTGTGTTGGGGGAAGAGAGCCTGCAGGTAACAACATGCCACAGGATGTATGTGACAGTCAGAGGACACGCTTCTGATATCAGTTCTGGGGTGTCTAGCTAGCCCTGGAGCCTCTGGGGAGTCTCCTGTCTCTATTTCTCATTTCCTGTGGGCTCACTGGGATTAGACACCAGTGCTACAGGGTCCAGCTTTTAGTCTATTTTTACTCAAGTTTTTTATTAAAAAAAAAAATTCAAATGGGAGGGAGGGGACAACTCAACCATTAAAGTTCTAGTCACACAAGCATGAGGACCTGTAGTCAATTCCCAACTAACTCACATTTAAAAAGATCATGCCTGACATAGAGCCAGTGAGATGGCTCAGCAAGGAAAAGCACTTACTGCCTAAAGGCCCAAGTTCAATCCCTGGGGCCTACATGCTGGAAGGAGAGAACTCACTCCTGCAAGTTGTCCTCTGACCTCCACATATGTATCATGGCATACGAACACACACACACATACAGAGAGAGAGAGAGAGAGAGAGAGAGAGAGAGAGAGAGAAAGCTTTTTAAACAGCCTATTAGCATGATGCACACACTTGTAACCCCAGCACTGGGGCTGTGGAGGCAGTCAGGTCCCTGGGTCTCACTAGCACATCAGCTTAGCTAGTCAAATCATGTGAACCGCAGGTCCTAGTGAGAGACCCTGTCTCAAAACCCATTATAAGACAGTTCTGAGGAACAACACCGGAGGTTGGCTTCTGCCTCCACATGAATGTACAACTCCCACACACCCACACACGCGTGCATACACAGGAAAGATTCTAATGATATAAATTTGGCTTGGTATTTGATGTGATAGTGGAAAGGCTTTGTTTCCAGGCCACTGAGAAGTAAATCTGAACAGCCCCAACAAGTGTCCTGTGACACCACATTGACCTTGGAAGGAAAAATCCCGAATACGGTCTTAAAAAGAAGAAAGAAAGAAAATACTATACAAAAAATATTTTCCCCCAAAAAAAATATATTTTAGATGTATTTTAGGTATAATGACTATATTATAGAAATGACTCCAGTGTGTTAGCCAAAAGCATTTCATGCTGAAGTGCAACAAGCTCAGAACAGAATGCCCAATGTGAGAAAGGATGCTCTACCCAAGCAGGTTCGTTTCCTTACGTTGCTTTCCTAACCTGAAAGAGGCATGGGCCTGGGAAGGGCCAGACCCCAGTTTTCACAGAAGAGATGATTCACCAAATACTGACATTTACATTAAAGGAAATGCCTGTGTTTTCTAAGATTTTGTTGTAAGTTTTCTCATATCTTGGAGAGAGTGTGTGGTGTGAGGCTGAGGCGTGCCAGAGGCAGTCTCCTCCCTTTGCTGCCTCCTTCCTCATTCCTCATTCCTCGGTCCTCACCCAGACTGAAAGCTCTCTGTACCTCCATGTCCTCTGTATTCCAGCTGCTGACAGGGCTGCCGCCTTCCACAGCTCCAGTGTTAGGAAGAAGAAAGAGGCTACAAAGCTTCCGAGTCACTTCCTCTCGGAGGGAACTATTTGGCCGAGGTAAGACAAGTCTCTATTTATTTGGAAACAGTGGCATGAGGATTAGAGGCAAATAAGCCAAAATGCTCTAGAGGAATATGTCTCCTCTATCACCAAGACGGGAAGTCAGGAGCCACACAAGGAACAGAAGCTGAGAACAGGTTGTTCTTCTCTGCTAGATATGAGTTTCACTTCAGGGCACAGATTCTGTTTCATCTTTTGAAAATTATTGGGGACCCTGGAGAGCTTTTCTTTCTCTTGACTATTTTTCATATTACTGTATTGTGCTAGAAAAATATTTAAATCTGAAAAAATTTTAAAGTAGTCACCTAGTGGTTTTATTGTAAAGTACACCACATGTTTTCTTAAATAATATTCTTTGAGAAACTCTATCCGAACACTCTACGGCTTTTTGTATATTTACAAATCTCTTTACGGTTTGACTGAATGGACGAAAGTAAGAATCTTCTTGCTTTGTTTTTAGATTGTTGTGATGGTAAGGTACACAGACTTCACTTCTGATACTCTCTCATCCACTTGTGAGATGTGAGATCTAAAAGGCAGTGGCATCAGAGGATGACTAGAAACAGTTTCGGCTACCCTATGAAAGCAAAAGAGACCTCATGCAAGGCTGATAATCGATAAGATCTGCAGCAGAAGGCTTGGGCAGGTCTGTACTTGGATCATATAGCATTCTCCGGGTAGACGTTATTCCACAAGGGAAGGGCTGAATAAAATTATCTCTATCTTGAGGTCACATAACAAAGCCAATCAAGAATGTCTTTAATCTCTTTACTTTTTGTCTATTTCCGGCTGACCAAATAATTTTATGACACGCTCCTGCAGAGTACCTTACCTCTTACCTGCAGTGTGACAAGAGCCTCGGAACAGAGAGAGAGGCTGTTAACCAGGGTGTGACTCTTCCATAGGACTCTCAAAACTCTTCATATTCTTCTGTTTGCTGCAGAAGAGAACTGTTACACCCGCCACACCACCCCCACCACACCATTGTTCCCCGACACACAACTACTCTTCCCCAATGCCCTTCTTTCTCTCTCTGTTCAAATACGGAGCATTCTTCAAAATTAACATCGACTCTCCTTTCACACACACTCATTCCAAGTATGTCAGTTTCATCTGACCTTTTTTGTCAATATTTAACAGTTGATTAAATATACCTGTCATTAATGATCTAATTTCCTGTTGTGTTCTGCTCCTATTGCTTCCACATCCCACACACACATTGTAAGATGGCACAATTGTCAAGGCCTAACTGACTTATTGAACTGAAATGTCACCTGGCCAGTAAGGTGACTCAACAAGTAAAAGAGCTGCATCAAAGCCTGCTGACCTGAGATTGATTCATGGAATCCATACAAAGAGGGAAGGAGAGAATCAAATCCATACAGTTGCCCCTGACCTCCATGCATATCCCATCATACACTCATACACACAAACTAAATACAGGTGTTTTGGTTTGGGTTTTGTTTGTTTTGTTTTGTTTTGAGACAGGGCCTCATCTTGTAGCACGGACTGTCCTTAAACTTACTATGTAAACAAGGGTAGACTCAAACTAACAAAGATTCACCTGCCTCTGTCTCCCAAGTGCTGAGATTAAAGGTGCACTGCCTACACCTGGCTACAATAAAGATGGTTGTTTTTTTTTTTAAAGAATTGAAATGTTGAGTGTTGATCTTGCTGCTGCCAAGAAAACTTCCCATCTGATTGTAGAGATTTAATCTCGTAGCAGGGTCCTCTGTTCAGCCCATACCTATTCACAGAACTAGAGTTCCACAGAGAGGGCAAATGGGATTGTAAGTGCTTTTCAAGTTCAAAGCATTTTACTTTTAATACAATACTATGTTTTTAAACTCCTAGTAATTTAAAAATTCTGACTGAATGATATTCTATAGCTGTGTATTGCCTTCCAGTGGTTCTCAACCTTCCTAATGCTTTGACCCTTTAATATTTCTAGTTCCTGCCGGGCGGTGGTGGTGCATGCCTTTAATCCCAGCACTCGGGAGGCAGAGGCAAGCAGATCTCTGTGAGTTCGAGACCAGCCTGGTCTACAAGAGCTAGTTCCAGGACAGGCTCCAAAACCACAGAGAAACCCTGTCTCAAAAAACCAAAAAAATAAAAAAATAAAATAAAATTTATAGTTCCTCATGTTGTGGTAACTCCTAACCATAAAATTATTTTCATTGCTACTTCATAACTGTAATTTTCTACTGTTATGAACCATAATGTAAATATCTGTGTTTTCTGATAGTCTTAAGTGACCCCTGTGGAAGGGTTGAGACCCACGGGTTGAGAATCACTACCAGAGGAAGTGGCTACTAGGACATTTGCCCTATATATATGGCTCTTTTGTGGCAGCTTTAACTATAGTCTAGAATTGCAGAATGCTGGGTCTGGAAAAGACCTTAAAACTTGACCTACAGCTTCCTTGTTTTCCAAATGAAGAAACTGAGATCCACCACCCCCCCATATTAAGTAACTTGCCCCAGGCAAAATTGGAACTCATGTGACCTAGCTTTCATCATGATATGCTGCCATTCACTCTCTGTGGTCTAGTTTTCAAAGGTTTATACAACTTTTTTTTATTTGAAGAGCCAGTTCTTGCTATATTCTCTTGGGAGGGTCTTTATGAGAATATTAGATGCAGGCTTCAGAGATGACAATGTTGGAAAAGTATCCCAGGACCTGTGTTCATTCTCCAGAATGCAAGGTTAAAACACAAACAAAACCTGGAGTGGTGCAGTGAGCTTCTAGCCCCAGTGCTAAGGTGACAGAAGCAGGTGCATCCATATGAAGCTTGCTGACCATCCAGTCCAGCCAGTAGCTAAATTCCAAGAGATTGAGAGGTCCTGTCTCTAAAAAAGGGGGAGGGTGTAGCCATCATATTGACTCAGAGGATAAGGGTGCCTGCCACCAGTCCTGGCCCAGAAATGACTTCTGCAAGTTGTCCTCTGACCTTAGGCATGTGGACACACAAACACAAAAATAAATATGGTTTCCTTACTTTTTAAGATGATGGATGGTACTTAAGGAATTAACACCCACTGTCCTCTGGTCTACACACACATACATATGCAAGAGACTATTAGGTAAAATGTTCAAGGCATTCTTATCCACTGAGAACTGTATTTCATAGATTAGAATTGAGAAAGCAAAGAAACATGAGTCAGAAAGAATCAGAGAAAAAATGGGGAGAAGTTGTGAAGAGGAGATCAAGATGTATCGAGAGCTAATGGAGGTGTGAACAAAGCAATGAAAACTTCAAAGTAAATACATAAAACAAAATAAATTAGAAAAAAGGAGAGTGAGACAGTCTTACATTTGGATTCATCTGGTTTCAGGCTTCTCTTGTTTTCTTGCTTTCACTGAGTTTTAGAGGAAAGCTCCAAGATCTGCCCCCCAAAATAGAATGTATTGGCTCCACTACGACCAAGTAACTTTCTAAAAACTCAGTTTTAACCTGTCTTTCTCCTACCCAAGGCAAAACTGAACTAATATAATAGGAAAATAATGGTGTAACTTTATAAGTAATTGAAAATAATATGAATATTTTAAAATGAAATACTTGATCTAGCTAGAAGGTGGTGGTACATGCCTTTAATCCCAGCACTCAGGAAGCAGCGCCAGGTGGATCCCTGTGAGTTCGAGGCTAGAATGGTCTACAGAGAGAATTCCAGGACAGCCAGGGCTACACATAGTTTATACTGGTGTAATTTCAGAGCTGCTATGCCAAAGGGATTGGAAACTGTTTGCACTATTGCCAAGTGGAGGAAGACTTTACCCTGGTAGGATTATCTACCTCCACTACTATGGCATAAGTTAAGCTACTCCTTCCATATTTCTGAAACTCTGCCACTGAGCCCTAATTCCAACCTTCCCCCTTCCTTTTTTTTCAGATTTGGGGACAGGAGCTAAGTTTCCTAAGATAACCTTGAACTCACTCAGAATTACCCAAAGAAGGCCCCCTGTCTCAACCACCATTGTAATTGGGGCCACGGGCCTATGCCAGCAGACTGGATTATGATGCTATTATTAAATTATTATTTTATTTCAGTGTGTGCATGAGACAGGAGTGTGGGAATCAGAGGAAAACTTTTGTGGAGTCAGTTTTCTCCGTCTTTCTGTGGGTAGTGGGAATAAAACTCGGGTCTCCAGATATGGGTGGGAAGTGCCAGAACCTTTTCACCAGCCATATAATGCTATTTTTCATCATAATTATTTTCTCTTCTTTTTGCCTTTTTGAGACAGGGTCTCACAAAACCCAGGCTAGACTCCACTTCACTGTATAGCTGAAGATGATAATCTTGAACCTTCTACCTCCACCTACCAAATGTGATTATCACTGGTGTATTTCAACACACCCAGGTTTAAATATGTTCAGATCTGATAACAATGTTATCAAGGTATGAAGGGGCATTGTTACTCTTTTTTTTATTTATTATGTATACAATATTCTGTCTGTCTGTATGTCTGCAGGCCAGAAGAGGGCACCAGACCTCATTACAGATGGTTGTGAGCCACCATATGGTTGCTGGGAATTGAACTCAGGACCTTTGGAAGAGCAGGCAATGCTCTTAACCACTGAGCCATCTCTCCTGCCCGCATTGTTACTTTTTGTGATATGGACAATCTCTAAGTATATAAGTACAAGTAAGATGCGAGAATACAGTATTAAGTGGGCCAAGTACCACCATGATAAGGTGTGAGGACTAAGCACCCTACAAAGCCTTCTTAATAATGCTGAGGTGAATGGAAAGGAAGCATGCATCCACGTTGACAGGTGTTAGCACGTGCACCCCAAAAATGCTGCCTCCGCATTGTTACATTTATTACCAAGGACAAAATAATCGTGGATGGGGGCTCTTCAGAAACACGTTCTTTCTGTAAACTGTGAATGGTTACCAAACTTTGTATGGTAAAATGATGAAATCATAAGCAAGCCTTGGTCCCCCACCCTCCCTGCTTCCTGGCCTTTGACAAGGATGCTCCTCTGTCCTTACTGAACTAACATCACTGGGAAAACTTTTCCAACACCGCCACGAGGAGTCTTTGCAACTCCAGCTTCTACAGCACCCGCCATACCTTGCCTCCCCCACTGATGTCTGAGTCACTGGAAGTTGGGAGCTAAGTTTCACTCAGCTTCTAGCCCCGCAGTTGAGTCATACTAGATGCTTAGTGATTAAATGCTAAACAAGTTCAGGAACTATGGGAAAGAGTGTTTTGTTTGTTTCGATGTTGTTATTGTAGTTTTTGAAGGGCATAGCCTTGTGCATGCCAGCCAAGCTCTCAAACACTGAGCCACATTCCTGTTTTTTTTGGGACAGGGTCCCACTATGTAGCCCAGGGAGGCCCCTCACTAATAGATGCTCTTTAGCTTTGGCTTCTTGATGTTGGGAGCACAGACATGTACCACCAGACCCATTTAGGAGTGGTAAATAAATAAATTATTGATTTATTTTATGTATAAATTATGTTTGCATGCTTGTACGACTACTGCCTGTGGGGGCCAGGAGAGGACATCAGATTCCTTGGAACTAGAGTTATTGATGGTTGTGAGATACCATATGGATGCTGAGAATGGACCTGGTCCTCTTGAAGAGCAGCCAGTGCTCTTAACCAATAAGCTGCCTCTCCGGCAATAGGAGTAGTATTTTTAGAGAAGCTGAATCCTTCTCTAAGGTCATTCATTCAATGAATAATTAAACACGCACTATAGTAAATAATAATACAAGGACAATGGCATGGGGTTTTGATCCTACTTCATGTTCTGGCTTTGTGGGAGCCTAGCCAGTTTGGATGTTCACGTTCCTAGACCTGGATGGAGGGGAGAAGACCCTGGACTTTCCACAGGGCAGGGAACCCTGACTGCTCTTCGGACTGGAGAGGGAGGGGGAGAGGGGTTGGGGGAGGAGGAGAAGAGTGGGAGGAGGGGGAGGGAAATGAGAGGCTGGGAGGAGGGGGGAATTTCTTTTTTTTTCTTTCATAAAAAAAAATTTGCTTCAGTATAGTGTACATGACATCATGGAACAGAGCCATGAGTAACACAGTTATATATGCTGGTATCCCCACTGTGTGTGGCTTTGATTTATTTGGGTATATACCCAGGAGTGATACACCAGGATAATATGATAATTCTACTTGTTGTTTTTGAGAGACCTCCATTGTGATTTCCATAAAGATTAAACTAAGCTACATTTCTGCCATGAACGTAGAAGGATTCCTTTTTCTCTGCATCGTTGTCAGATTTGTTAGAAATTCTTTTTTGTTTTTTTTTTGTTCTTGTGTTTTCTTGATGATAGGAATTCTGAGTAATTTTATAAGATTAATTTTTTATAGTTTTAAATCATGTGTGTGTTTGTGCAACTGTTGAGGGTGGGCCTGTGAGTATTAGCTCCCACGGAGGCCAGAGACATCCAGTCACCTGAAGCTGGTGATTATAGGCAATTGTGAGCCACCTGATGTAGGTGCTGGAAACTGAACTCAGATTCTCTGCAAGAGCAGTACATGCTCTCGGGCACTGAGCCATCTCTCCAGCAGCTCAATGCATTTTTAATTCGTGTTTCTCTGGCAGCTAAAGCTGTGAACGTCCTTTTCATGTATTTTTCAGCCATTTGTAGTTCACTGAAAACTGCACATTCAGTTCCTTTATCCGTTTATTGATTAGAATATGAAATAGGCTTGATAACTATTCTCCTTTGGATATAAGGAACTGAAGCTAGGTTGAGTAGGTAAACATCTACCATGTAACTAATACTTTAGGATGGTTTCTTTAAAATTGTTTTTCAACTGAGCTTTAATTTCCATCCACTGTAAGTACCTGCTCTCAGATTATATTAAAATTTAGTGAGTCCTTAAGAGCACAGATTTATAAACACCCCTTAAATGCTACTGTCATTTTCTATAGCTATAACACATGCCAAAAACTAAATGATTTAGATGAAGGGGTGGGGGACAGCAGGGACTTAAGACATACAGAGACTTAAAAGTAATAAATACAGATGATCTGTAACCATTTGTAACTAGAGCTCCAGGGGATCCAAAGATACACACACACACACACACACACACACACACACACACACGAGACAGAGAGAGAGTTAAAATAAATCTTTAAAGTGGCCTCTCTTGTGAAAAGCACTACTCGATTCCTTCCTGTGGGCTCCTCCACAAGGCCCCACCTCCAGCACTGACACATAGACACCAACTCTCATCACGATTCTTGGTGCCTACAAACCATAAAAACAATTAACACTTGTGACTCAGACACAGTCCTGGGAGCTCCATTCATTAACTTCCTCACCACACAGGGCAACAGCTGCTCCCTGGAACCTGCTGTGGTGTAGGGGAAGTTCCAAGTCTTCCCCTGAAGGTCCCAATTTTGAGTCTGCTGAAATAAGACTGCAGTCAACAGATTATCGGGAGCAAAGGCTACAAGAGACAATTAACATGTGCAAGCACCTGAGCTACCTGAAACATTATAACTTACCGAAGCCAGAGTGGTGAAGTTGGGATTCCTTCCTCAGGGAGGAAGTAAAAGGCTTGCAGGTGATTTTAAAGCAGGATGAAATACTGTTGGGGGAGCCTGACCACAGAGTCAGATGCAGACAAGGAGGCCACACATGGGATCCCAACACTGCGGCAGCTGAGGCAGGAGGACTATGATTTCTACAGGACCCCATCTCTATAGGGAAAAACAGAGAAGTCAATGATTGAAGGTAATTGTGTTCCTCTTTAGTGGACCCGCCTTCAGGAAACAGAGAAATTCAGAGAAGTCTCTTTGCTACTTCAGGAGAGGAAGGTGTCAAGAGAACCTTCCAGTAACCACGGGAAGGACCAGAGAGACCTGAGGAGGCTGCTTTCATCAAGTTCGTCATCAACACATTAAAGTACATGCAGGAAACTCATTAAATTAGATAGTTATTAAAAGCCAAGGAGGCGGTTTTTGAGGCAGGGCCTTAGGTAGCATCTTACTACATAGCCTTGAACTCCAGACCATTCTTGTAAAAAAAAAGTACTGTTTTTTGTGCTCCTAATTGATACATAAAGCAACAAGATCTACTAAAGAAATTTCAGGTGATAAAGCTTAAACCATCTCAAGACTCCTGGGACCTACAATGGCTGCTAATAAGTGAGCATTTCAACTAGTAGCAGGGTCAAGGCACTGTGGTTTGTTCCTTCATAACCCCAGGAGGAGGGCTACATTTCAGCTTAGAAATAAATGAGAATAAATATGTCTTGTTTTTCTCCCCAAAGTCACAGATTTCTCATACTTAGGACTCCATGGCAAACCCTTACCCCGTGACAAAATTCTGGAAGGACATATACATAGAAATATAGAGTAGGGTGAGGCAAAGGGGGAAAGCAAATACACAGAGATTTTTGCAGAAACATCATGTTTATGTAATGCTCATGCACAAACACAGACAAGCCAGACTTCAGGTCAAAAGCTGCTGCTGCCTTTGGAGGAAACCCACCAAATGTCAGAACCTCTCTGCTTTCCCCCACCCTGCCCCAAACACCAGGTGGAAATGCCACCTCTGTCTCCTCCTCTTCTTTACCACTGTAGCAGTGAGGTCACGAACCTTCAGCATCTCATCTACAGGAGGCCACTGGCTTTTCAGTTCAGATAGAACTGGTCCCCAGTATTTCTAGCATCCCCAGTTAACACAAAACTAATCATTCACTAGGGAGCCATATTTTCACTAGGGATTCATAGCACTCCTAGCCAGTATTCGCTAGGAGTCACCCTTTAAAATATTATGAAACAGCATTCGCCTGGTTCCAAATAGCTAAGGGTTTGTAAAGAACATAAACGTGCATGCTACAGACTCCTGCTTCACATGTATTAAACATCACAGTTTCCATCAGCATACTGAATGATAAATGACTTTCCAATGCGAAGGTTTAGAAGGCAGTATTAAGGAGCTGGAGAAGTGGCTCAACCATTAAAAGCACTGGCTACTCTTCTAGAGGACTGAGGTTCAGTTTCAGCACCCACATGGTGCCTCACAACCATCTGTAACTCCAGTTGGAGGGGATCCAATGCTCTCTTCTGGCCTCCATGAGAACTGCATGCCTGTGGTGCACAGACATACATGCAAACAAAAATAAATCTAAAAAAAAAAAAAAGAAAGTAAGAGGTCTATTCATTTTATGTGTACGAAGAGCAATCTCTGCCTCTTCATGGGTGACTCTTTGCTTTTCTTAGAATAATGTTGGCTGCCATATTGGAAGAAGGCTCATGCATCAACTTCAGGGAAATGGCATTTATTGACAACACACTCTACTTTACACGTAAGTCTAAACGATTAAGACAAATGTGGGTCTCGGGTACAGATTTTCAACTAGAAATGAAATCAAGAAGTGAGCTTGGATTCCTGTTTGTCATCAAATTCTACGGAAATGTCAATGACACACTAAGACTGCTAAAAAACAAAACGGATTTCCTAGCTCCAGTGCCCTGCCCCACGTCCTGAGTTGACACTCCAGCAGTTTGTCACCAAAATGGTGTCTGGTGCCCTCATGAAAATGTACCACTGAGGAAAAACTGCTTCCCAAAACAAATGCAATTAATGAGATTCTAGGCCTAGAGTTCTGTCTACACCATTCATGTTAATAGATTTGACCAAAAAAAATAATAATCCTTCTAAGATTCCTTGGGAAACTTGACTTCACTGAAAGTTCAGCTTTCTTTGGAAGCTTCATAGAAAATCCTTAGATGTCTTGCATTTAAACAATAAACATAAAAGGAAAGTTTGCCACTTTATTAAAAAAATACTTTAGCTGGGGCTGAAGAGATGGCTCAGAGGTTAAAAGCATTGCCCCCCCTTCCAAAGGTCCTAAGTTCAGTTCCCAGCAACCACATGGTGGCTCACAACCATCTGTAATTGGGTCTGGTGCCCTCTTCTGGCCTGCGGGCATACACATAGACAGAATATTGTATACATAATAAATAAATATTAAAAAAAACTTTAGCTATGTACTGAAATTACAAATCCTGGATTTAAATTGTTAATTATTGCTATTTTATGTGTGTACTTGTTTCTCCTGCATGTATGTCTGTGCAATATGTGCAAGCAGTGTCCTAGGAGGTCATAAAAGGGTGTGGATCCTCTGGAACTGGAGTTGCAGAAGGTTGTGAGCTGAGAATTGAACCATGGTCCTTTGGAAGAGCAGACAGTGTTTTAAGAACTGGATCATCTCTCTAGCCCTAGATTTAAGTTTAAAGTTTAAACCTAGCACACTTGTGTACACACAAACCCTAATAAGCTTAATTTTATGGGCTCCTGAATGCTTGTCATTTGATATTCCTAATGGAGGTCAACAGAGCCCATCACCATTATATAGAGGTGAGGAAGTGAGGAGTGGGGGCAGGTGAAAATCTGTGAGTTGGAGGACAGCCTGGCTTACAAAGTGAGTTGAAAGGCAGCCAGAGATTTTTAGTAAGACCTTGGAGAGAGAGAGAGAGAGAGAGAGAGAGAGAGAGAGAGAGAGAGAGAAAGAAATAGAGTTCCAAAAGTGAGGGGAAGGGGACATGATGAGCTGAACTATATAATTTAACATATTATGTTTCTTTTTCCTCCCTTTAGCTGAAGATGATGGTAAAGTATAAATTTATTTTTCTCTCTTTGCAAATTAGAAGATACTTAGACACGTCTATTGTCTGCTGGGGAAAACTGTCCATAGAGATGTCCAGGGGGTAGTTAATAATTACAGTTGCATTATATTCACATAATTCTATGGGAGAGCATATTAAAACTTGAATTCCTCGGCTAATTGACTTAAGTTGTTTCTGTCTTACTTCTGCTGATTACAGCAGCCTTGCATGGTGCTTGGACATTTCTGTTGTCTGGTTTGATTTGACACTGGTTGCTATTATGTAGCCTACACTAACCGAGAAGACACTATATCACCTGGACTGGCCTCAAACTGTGACCCTCCTGCCTTCACCTCCCAAGTGTAGCACACTACAGTAGCACACGCAGCAGCATTCTTTTATAACAGCATTAGCACATGTGTCTCACTGTTTGTTCAGAATAAAATCTAGGGAGCAGAACTGCAGGTTGGCAAATCAAAGCCTCAATGGTCCTTCCATTGATTTTATAAGTGTACTAGCAAGAGATAATTCCCTAGCCTGATGTGGTGGAATACACCTTTAATCCCAGATTTTGGGAAGCAGAGATAGGCATATCCCTAAGTTTGAGGCCATCCTGATCTACAGAACAGATTCCAGGACAAGTAAGTCTATACAGAAAAACAATGTATTGAAAAATAAATGAGAGAGAGAGAGAGAGAGAGAGAGAGAGAGAGAGAGAGAGAGAGAGAGAGAGAGAG